AGAGACAAGTGTGGTCTACAGGGAAAGCGCCCACGCCAAGGAAACTGCATTCTGCAGGAAACTGAGCGTGTGCGGCCGGGCGGAGGCCGTCCCGGTAGACTGTTTCGTGCTCACTCTGAGCTTGGACGCTTCCGAGCTGGAGGGGGCGCCCCCCCCAGGCAGACGTCCCCCAGGCCCTCCCCGGGGCTGCCCGGCGGCAGCGGGCGTTACCGTCAGATCAGATGCGCCTCGTGAGCAGCTCCTCGGCCTCATCCATCATGCTACGCTCGGGTACCTCGTCACCATGTTCCGTTCTGCTTCCCCAGCCCTAAAACACCAAAGGTGGCAGGCTGGCGGTGCTGCCTGGGAGCTGCCGGGATGCAGGCACTCTGCTGTAATTTGTTCATCTGTCTCAAGATTATGCAGTTGGAAACCCACAATTTTATGCTGCCTTTGTAAATTACCGTGCTGCGCTTGACGGATGTCCCCCACTTCCGCGAGGCAGCGTTGCAATCGTGAGGGATGGGAAGTGCTCACGCATATGGAGCAGAAGGTTATGTTTTTATACTTTCTAGCAGGCGACCACGCTGGAAAGTAAATCTGACCTTAAGCTTCCTACTGCATTAAAGATAATTCAGTTTTAACTTCATAGTCTCGGATGCTTCAGCTGTGGATATAAAACTCCGGCCCAGTCGGAGCGGACTGACTGCCAGGAACGACCCCTTCACAGTCGCACCCGAAACGCAGGGGTCTGCCTGGCCTGCAGACACGGAGGCGCAGGGAGGGAGGGGCCGGGGTGCACACAGCGGTTAATTAATGTGTACAAAGTGCTTGGCGCAGCCGCCTGGGATTCAGAGACGTCTGCTCCCGTGTGAACACAGTTCTGGGCTAATAGAACCGGCTGTCCAAACAAACGGAAACAGGGAAAACGGACGCCAGATGCACGGCGGGGGGCGGGGTGTGCCTGAGAAGAAAGCCCTTCCCCAGGGGCATGTGCCAGAGGACAGCTTGGGGGGCCCCCACCCCAACTCCCGCCTGGAAGCAGGAAGAGCCAGGGGCCCAGCGGCTCCCAGGGCTTCCAGAACGTTCTGCCTGCTGGGAGGTGGCGGGTAGCTCGGGCTCCCCGAGGAAGCCCCACTATCCCCACCTTCCCACACGGGTCTCTCTGTTTGCTTTCCCAGTCGGAGAGCGAGGAGAAGGTTGTCACCTACGACCACATTGGGCCCAACGTCTGCATGGGAGACCACAAGGTGATGTGTCCGCGCCGTGTGCAGTGTGGGCCCGGGCGGGGGCTGGACGGCGGGGGCAGCGGGCGGCAGGGGCTGGACGGCGGGCCGAGTTTCCGCTCCTCCATCGGCCCACACAGCGCTTGCCCAGATGGTCTGTGTTTACGTAATTGTAATAAAATGCCAGAAGGTAGGTAGGTAGGTAAAGAAGGCAGAAAAGACTAGTCACAGTAGAATAAAATACAGAATTTTACTACTTATAACAAAATACCGTCCACAGCCAGTGATTTCCGAAGGTCGTTTTTCTAGTGTGCATTTGGGATACCGTGACTTCTCATGGCAGTGAGCACAGATGCGTCCTTCAGGGGGACGCTGAGTATTTGTGCAGGGACGCGCTTCGTACGCGTGAGTGTCCCTAACCCCGAGCCCCAGAGTCTGAGGGCGATGCTGGCCGCGTCTTACCTTCAGCCAAATTGGAGACACCCGTGCTTCCCATGTGCAAGGCCTCCGGGCCGTGGCCACGGGTGCATCGTCCTGGCGCCCGGGGGAGCGGACCCGGCACGGCCACCGGGTTAGTCAGCAGTCTACGTGAGTTTTTACCTGGAAATCATGCCCTTTGCAAAACTCAACCCCAGCTCCAGTTGTGAGGTCACTGGGGTCCCACGCTGGTGCTCGCGCACAAGGCAGGGGGACGCAGTTGGGCAGCCGGGGGAGGGCAGGGATCCGGAGTCGGGGGGTCAGGGTGGGCGCGTGGCCGCGGGCTCCGACGCCCTCTCTCCTCCCGCTGCAGCCCGTGTTCCTGGCCTTCCGCATCGCGCCCGGGGCAGGTAAACCTCACGCCCATGTGCACAAGTGTTGTGTCGTGCAGTGACGTGTGGTAAATATGACTCCTTCCCTTGGCTTCACCTTTTCTCAGCTTTTCTTGGTGTGTTTGTTCCTTTAACGAGTGACCGATTCCACGGCAGGGAGGCGATGCCAGCGACACCAGAGGGCCCTTCGCGAGACCTCCCTGTAGCGCCTGGAGCCGGTGGGAGTCCCATCCATTGAAACACGTCCTCCTAACAGCTGCATCGACAAACCCGCCCGAGCGCCACCCACTAGACGGCCGGCCCCACACTTCGCTTCAGCCTCCGGACCGTTCCGGAAAAGCCTCACATACCTCACTGTCTTGTCTGTTCATGTGACATTAAGTAGAAATATTGGGTTTTTGTAATAAGTCACCGTCCTGTTGCCAAAACTCTATAGACAGGAGAGGGAGTCTGTATTTTAGACTTCAGAGTTTCCATTTTTAATAATTGTCAGCGTGGGAAGAGCTTCTCCGGCGTGGAAACCCCCCAGGTGTCCCAGGTCCCCCTCTGCCAGCTGGAGGCGTGCCCGGGGGGCGGGCGGCGGGCGGGGGCTCTTTGCGACTCCGGCAGTGTGGCCACTGTGAGGAGAGCAAGGGGCCCTGGTCTCCGCCTCGGGCGGCTCCCCTTCCGTGTTATTTACTGCCGCGTTACATGGTTTTTGAATCACACTGCAGCTGCTTTCCGTTTTTATATATATAAATATATATAAATATATACTTTTTAAAAATAATTTATAAATCTTACCAAAACCTATGCTAAATATACTTTCCGGGACGAATGCTTGCGAGGGTCCTGTCGGCAGGTAGGAATGGAGTCGAGTTCGGGGACGTGCACATCCGCACAGACCCATCCGGCCTTGCGGCCTAGCGGTGCCGTCCTGCGTGGACGTCGACCACAGCACATCTACACTTGCAGATTCTTACTCCTATGCCTTTTTTTCTGTGTAATATTAAGAACTGAATGTGAAGTTTCTAGCTAGCTCGGGTGTACCTTTTAAGAATTTTGTAAACTGTCCCGTCTGTCTTTTGTTACTGTTCTATGGTGCCAAGTATTCTACATAAAACAATAATATCATGGGAGAAACAAAAATAGCCTAGTCTGCTTCAGATAGAAACTGCTTTTAACATGGGCTGTATATAAAACTACTAAGAGAAACAAAACCGTAAGTTTCCTCGGCTGCTCCGTTGCACCCAGCCTACGTGGTAACCTTGCTGCGACCATCTCCCCTAGCACGAAGTACAGCATTAAAAGGTCATTGCAGAGCCTGTGGATGAAACACAACCTATGTTTTATTGATCCGCTTTAGAACACTACACAATTCCTGGACTGGGTGAAGGCCTTAGATGCTCGTTTTTAGGTAAATCACTACCATTGCAAGTGATTGGGTGTCCGCTTGCTGATCTGTTCTTGACAGTGTGGTCAGGGTCAGTGCTTTGGCCGCTCTGCTCTGTCCACGTGCCACACGGCAGGCCCGCCCCACGAGCTTCTGTGTAACGGGGTTTCAGCTGTTGGTCACTGTGGAGGCCTCTAAAAATGACCGCTCCGGTTCCTAAGCAATAAAATTGATCATGGTGAAACAGTCCTGAGTCTGCTTTGTTTCTCCGCCTTCCCGGTCCCCATCTCCTTTGAAATGCTAAGTAATGGGAGGGCGCTCCTTTGTGGGCTCACCAGAAATCCTGGAATGTCATTCTGTCAGACATTGCTACACAAAACCAAGCCATTAGTTAAGTGCAGAAAAATCATCTTTTGGGTTTTTTACCGTAGTGGTAACTAATGGGAATTACCCTCAGCGTTTAAAGACGAGGTTATAAAAATGCACTGCCTTCCTCAAAACTTTAAAACTGGGATTTCCTTTGCTCTTAACTTGAGCTGAGAGAACGATTCGCTCACAGAAATAAAATAGATTTTAATATTGCTCCGTTAAAAAGAAGACCAGCCAGTGGCTCAAAAGAAATGTCTTTTTTTTAAACTGATGGTGCAGCCACGTGGCATAGAACAGAAAACAGCCTTTTCCGTTTCTCTGTAACAGTTTCAAAAATGCCTTCAAGGAGAAACCTTATAATAACGCAATCACTTCTATTTAATTTTTAAAATTACAACTCAAGAGTTACGCGCAGTAGGACGCGAGCACCAGAGCAGCAGCCTCAGAATGTGGAGCCCCGCCGCTGGCCCGCTCCCTGCGCCGGGTGCGGGCCGCTGAGGGCCTGGCCCGGTGGGAGTGAGTGCGAGCCGTCCCTCGGAGGGCGGCAGCGTTACTTGGGATTTCTCTTTGGCGTCCCGGTCTGAATCAAATAGTTTCTACGGATTAAAAACGATGGAACCGGGCTGCAGACGAGCTTAAAATCTGTGAGCTGCACGCTTAGCGCGCAGTAGGAAACCTTTAGCTGCTAAGGCATTTTAAGATCTGCGTAATCGGATGAAACACATGGTGCGAGCCGGGCGGCAGCCTAGGACTCGCCCCGCGCCCGCCCCGGGGTTTCCGAAAAGAGGGACGCGCGCGGGTGAGTGCTCACCTGCCGCCGACCTCCGCCACTGAGCCGGCCCTGCAACCCCCGGCGGGGCGCGGGTGGGAGGGGGAGCCGCACCTGTCGCGGCGCGCGCACTTGCCGGCGCTGCGCCCCGCGCCCGCTGCGTTTCCGTCCGAGGCCCCGTCCGGCTCCGCTGGGCGCTCTCCGGCGTCGCGGCTCCTCCGGCGCTCCCGGGGCGGCCGAGGGGGTCTCGAGGCCAGGGTCGCCCTTCCCCGCGCCGGGCCCTCGATGTCCCCTTGCTCCTGCGAGCTGCCGCCGCCCGGGCCTGGGGACACGCGGGCCGGGGTCGCACCGCGCCCCTCGCTGCCAGCCCGGCCCCGCGGGGACAAAGACTGGGGGGGGGGGCAGGGACCCGCGGGGGGGTGTTTCGAGAAGGAAGACACACGCGGTGCAGCCTCCGGAGCCGCGGCTCCGCCGGGGACGTGTTAAATAATTTATTGATTATACAAAGTGATTCCGCCCGGGACGCGCGGCCCCGCGCCCTCCCGAGCCCGCGCCGGCCGCTTTATAACTTATTCTGTAAAAATATATATACACACGGCGGGCGGCGGCGAGGGGCGCCGGCCGCCCCGACCCTGGTTGCTCCGGCCGCGCGCGTGCTCACAAGGCGTCCCCCGCGCCGCCGCCGCACGGGCTGACCAGCGCCAAGTTCGCGGGTTTGTGCTTCTTGAGCAGCCGCGTGATCTTCTCGTCGTCCGAGTTGGGGTCCAGAGGCCGGTTGTACTCGTCGTCGTCCTCCGCGTCCGAGCCGCCCACCTTCAGCTTCTCGGCGTCCGAGTCCTGCTTCTTCTTGGCCGACGCCATCTCGGCCGCGTGCCGCTTGCGCCACTTGGTCCGGCGGTTCTGGAACCACACCTGCGGCGGAGGGGAACGGTCAGACGGCGCCTCGGCGGCGCCCGACCCATGCAACGCGAGACCCCGCCGCCCGCGTGGAGGAGCAGCGGCCGCGGCGGCCAGC